GGTCTGTTGGAATAGGACAATGGGTTTATATATCTGTGGAATGGCAAAGAGCTCTTCTCTGCTGGAGCTAGGTGTGAATGTTTCAACTGACCACCTTCATTAGCATTTGAAGGCATGGCTGAGCCTGAGAAAATCTTTTGTTGAGTGGTGTTCAGATGTGCCTGGTTGTTTCCTCTCTGCTGTTTTGCTGTTGTAATTTTAGAGTTTTTTAATACTGGTAGCCAGATTTTGTTCATTTTCATGGTTTCTCCTTTCTGTTGAAATTGTCCACATGCTTGTGGATTTCAATGGCTTCTCTGTGTAGTCTGACATGGTGGTTGTTGGTGTGGTCCAGCATTTTTGTGTTCTCAAATAATATGCTGTGTCCAGGCTGGTTCATCAGGTGCTCTGCTATGGCTGACTTCTCTGGTTGAAGTAGTCTGCAGTGCCTTTCATGTTCCTTGATGCATGTCTGGGCGCTGCGTTTGGTGGTCCCTATGTAGACTTGTCCACAGCTGCATGGTATACGAGAAGAGAAGTCAGCCATAGCAGAGCACCTGATGAACCAGCCTGGACACAGCATATTATTTGAGAAGACAGAAATGCTGGACCACACCAACAACACCATGTCAGACTACACAGAGAAGCCATTGAAATCCACAAGCATGTGGACAATTTCAACAGAAAGGAGAAGAAACCATGAAAATGAACAAAATCTGGCTACCAGCATTTTAAAAACTCTAAAATCTGGGCAGTAAATAAAGAACAGCACCCAAAAAAGGCACATATTAACACCTCCCAGCAAGAGATTTTCCCAGGTTCAGGCAGGGCTTCAAATGCTAATGAAGGTGATCAGTTCAAACATTCACACCTAGCTGCAGGAGGGAAGAGCTCCTTGCCCCACCCCAGCCATTCCACAGATATATAAACCCATTGTCCTAATTCCAACAGACCTCACTACCTCTGAGGATGCTTGCCATAGATGCAGGCGAAACGTCAGGAGAAATGCCTCTAGAACATGGCTCTATAGCCCGTAAAAACCCACAAGAACCTACAGTATTTTCTGTTGGTTATGAAGGTTCTACGTGGGAGGTTTGGACCAATTCTGTCGTTGGTGGGGTTCAGAATGCTCTTTGATCGTAGGTGAACTATAAATCCCAGCAACGACAACTCCCAAATGTCAAGGTCTATTTTCCCCAAATTCCATCAGTGTTCACATTTGGGCATATTGAGAATTCATGCCAAGTTTGGTCCAGATCCATCATTGTTTGAGTCCACAGTGTTCTCTTGATGTAGGTGAACTACAACTCCCAAACTCAAGGTCAATGCCCACCAAACCCTTCCAGTATTTTCTGTTGGTCATGGGAGTTCTGTGTGCCAAGTTTGATTCAATTCCATCATTGGTGGAGTTCAGAATGCTCTTTGATTGTAGGTGAACTATAAATCCCAGCAACTACAACTCCCACAGGACAAAATCAATACCCCAATACTCCAATCCCACCAGTATTCAAATGTAGGTGTATTGGGTATTTGGTCCAGTGAATAAAATACATTCTGCATATCAGATATTTACATTACTTTAATAACAGCAGCAAAATGACAGTTATGAAGTAGCAATGAGACTAATTATGTGTTTGGGGGTCACCATAACATGAGGAAGCATATTAAGGGGTCGTGGCATTAGGAAGGTTGAGAAGCACTGTGTTAAGGGACGTGCCTTTCTGGCCACTCTCCTTGCTAATAATAATAATAATAATAGTAGTAGTAGTAGTAGTAGTAATAATAATAATACTTTATTTATACCCCACCTCCATCTATCCCAAGGGGACTCGGGGCGGCTTACATCAGGCCATGGCCATCAGCACAGTAAACACAATGTAACACAATGTAACACAATATAACAATATAACACAAAAGCGTAACAAAACCAGAAAATAATTTTTTTTGTCGAGTCAGGAGCGTCCTGTTGTGAGAGGATTGACCGTCTGCAAGGACGTTGCCCAGGGGACGCCCGGATGATTTTGATGTTTTTATCATCCTTTTGGGAGGCTTCTCTCATGTCCCCGCATGAGGAGCTGGAGCTGATAGAGGGAGCTCATCTGCCTCTCCCCGGATTCGAACCTGCGACCTGTTGGTCTTCAGTCCTGCCGGCACAGGGGTTTAACCCACTGCACTGGGGGGCCCTAGGTAATTTTCAATGGTAAGCAAACAGTATTTTGCCCCCCCCCCCAACCAATCACTGATATATTTTTTCTGTTTGTCGTGGGAGTTCTGTGTGCCATATTTGGTTCAATTCCATCATTGGTGGAGTTCAGAATGCTCTTTGATTGTAGGTGAACTATACATCCCAGTAACTACAACTCGCATATGTCAAGGTCTATTTTCCCCCAAGAGCGCCTCAAGAGTGCCCCTGGGCAAAATCAACTATACTGCAAATGCTTACTTTGCGTAATGGGTTGAGCCGCCCCTGGCCACCGGGGGCTCCGAGAAAATAAAATGCATAAAATGCAAAACCAATATAATAATGCAATCTGGTAGTGCAATCTGGTAATGGAATATAGGAATGGAACAATGGACGACGAACCTGGACTACGCTTGGATGATGAGAAGATTGGGTACAGTTGTTTTTCATAATAATTGTGCATTGTAATTGCTTATTGGTAATTTATGGATAATGTGTTAAGTCAATTGTTATATGTTGTATGGAACCACTGCTGTTTCTACTGTTTTTACTGTTTGTGAACCGCTGTGAGTCGCCTTCGGGCTTGAGATACAGCGGTATATAAGCAAAATAAATAAATAAATAAATAAATAAATAAATAAACAATAATAATAATAATAATAATGCGACATGAGAGAAGCCTCCTACAAGGATGGTAAAACATCAAAACACCTGGGCATGCCCTGGGCCACATCCTTGCAGACAGCCAACTCTCTCACACCAGAAGTGACTTGGAGTTTCTCAAGTCACTCCTGACACACACACACACAAACAACCTGAGGCTGAGAAAGTGTGACCTGCCAAGATCAAATTGACCCTGCGGGGATTCAAATCCGAATCCTCCGGTGTCCCACGTCCAGCGCTTAACTCTACACCACGATGGCTGTATTTGCCTTGGTAGTATTGGATAGTAACTTAGTCCCTGGCTTCTTTTTTCCGTGTCAGGAGTGTCTTGAGAAACTGCAGGTTGGGTTGTTGTAGTTTTTTTGGGCTATATGGCCATGTTCTAGAAGCATTCTCTCAACCTCTGAGGATGCTTGCCATAGATGCAGGCAAAATGTCAGGAGAGAATGCTTATAGATCATGGCCATATAGCCCGAAAAACCTACAGCAACCCAGTAACAAATGTATGTATGTGTGTGTGTGTATATATATACACACACACACACACATATACACACACACACACACAAATATACCAGTTCCCTTTGTTACCTGCTGCAGTTTGGTTTCAGGGCACCGCCATGAATGCCAAAATCCATGGATGCCCAACATTCATTATAGATGCAATGGCATAATAAAATGAAGTCCCTTATATCAAGGTTTGCGTTTGGGAGGAAGTTTGGAGGAGGCCTATCTCCAAGCTGTGGATGTTTGAATTCATGAGTACAGAGAGCTGATTGTATGTTCATGCAGATACAGGTAGAATGAATGTTGCGCAATTGAAAGGTCATATCATGTAATTTAATGATTGAAAAGCTCTTGAAATGAGTGGAAACCTTCTTTTAAGGTAGTTTTTGGTTTTTTAAAAAAATAGGTTTATGGATAATATGACAACAGATGAAGTAATCATGGAGGAATAGTCTGATTTGGGACTGGGTTGAGAAATAAAGGGAAGGCTCAATGAAGGGCAGGTCGGACTGGGATTGGATTAGCAAAGGCCTAAGTGAAAGGAGGAGCCAGCCTTACTTGGCTGTGGAATAAATTAAGAGATTGTTATTTGACTCGCCAATAAAAAGCCACCTTTACCTTCTCACCTAATTCTGTCTTTCCTTCGCAGAGGATATGTGATCTTTTTGCTAGTCTTCCTAACAGTCACATCTTGTCTTTCATTTTCTGAGAGAAGAGGGAGGAAAAGCATCTTGGATCTAATCTGCTTCTTCATCAAACAGTGGTTCCAACATGGAGAGACCCAACTCACCTGGACCTGAAACAGGACTTGGGAGCAATGGAGCATCCTGGCAAAGAACTACGCCTAAATTCCTGAGCGTGGACCATTATAGCTCAGACACACAGCGCCAGCACTTCAGGCATTCCTCCTTCCGAGAGGGCGAGGGACCCAGAGAGGTTTGCAGCCACCTCCACTCTCTCTGCCGCCAGTGGCTGAAGCCAGAGCAACATACCAAGGCGGAGATGCTGGACCTGGTGATCCTGGAGCAGTTCCTGAGCATCCTGTCCCCAGAGATGGGGAGCTGGGTCCGAGAGTGTGGGGCAGAGACCTCTTCCCAGGCGGTGGCCCTGGCGGAAGGCTTCCTCCTGAGTCGGGCAGAGGACGAGAAGCAGGAAGGACAGGTGAGAATATTTCCTCTTGGCTTCACTCACTTTCTCACTGATGGATAGATTAAACATATGTCCTGCCTTTCTTCCAAGATGGGACTGATGTGAGGGAGAAACCGGACTCTGCTCCCTCTTCCTCTTTTCCCAGTTGCTATGTCCTTCCTGTTGTCATCTCCATATCTGCTGTAAGCTTGGCTGCTCCTCTACTCAGTTTTGTTGACCCCTGATATAACATTCAAAATGATTTATTTATTGTGTCAGAAAAAAAAATGAGGATACAGTTATAATGATGAGAGCAGGAAACATGGCCTTTGTTTCAAACTAGGTTGCATTCTCAGAATGTAGGTCCTGAACATTTGGGGAAAAAATCCTTTTCTAATCGTTCTCCATACTCCTGAGATTCTCTGTGGTCTTTCAGGCCCAAAATAACTGTATTGAAGTCCAGCCTGAGGTCCCTGAATCTGAGAAATCTCCACCAGACACCGCCCAGAGCCTTCAGCAGAAGGAGCCGAAGCAGGAAGAAGAGTGGGCTGCAACCTCACAGGGTAAGAAGGAACACTTTGGGTTGTTTTGGTGTTTTTTGCCAGTGTTACGTTCCCCTAGACTTAATGTCAAACGGAAACCTTTACCTTAAGTTCCCCTTTAAGGGGTTTGTAGCATATCCCCAATCAGTTTCAGATTGAGACCATGCAAATGCAGGATCTTTGGTCCTGAGATTAGCATTTAGATAGGCATTCAGTTGCCCAGAGTCATTTTGGGGAGGTGCGGTGGGATATAAATAAAGTTATTATTATTATTATTATTATTATTATTATTATTATTATTATTATTAAAAGGTGTAGCTTCAGTGTGGCTGATTTGCAGTTTTCTTTCTTGCAATACTTCTGCATTAGCCTAAAGTTGAACAAGACTGAAAACTCAGCGCTTCAATATCTTCCCAGGAGGGACCCAAACCTAAGATGAGTCCTGAAAATGAGCTGGAAGATAAACAGACAACGAAGAATAACTTTAGTCAATTGAAATACCAAGCCCAGTACTAGTTTAAATCTAGTACTTTAGTCAATTGAAATAAAATTGGAAGAAAACTGCATTCTCTAACTTGACACCTTCCAAAGGTCTTGGGCAAATGTTCACAGCACTAGTTGAGATAAAAAGTCCTAAACTCCAAAATGTTACATGTTCCTGAGCTGGAGAATGCTCCTGTCTTAATAAGTTTCTTTTCGGGACCTTAATTGTAACCTCTGAGACATGTGTATGTGTTCAGCTTTCCACGCCTTTCTCTCTCTCCCAGGGGCTGGAATGATGTCGGCAAATCCTCAGTCATTTCTTCCCCTTTGCGATGGAGTGGAAGTGATTCAGGTAAGCAGAAGGATTCCTGAGAGAGGAGGACTGGAACTGCCTGGGTGTCATTCGTTCCAGGCAGGCCCGTAGCCAGGATTTCGTTTCGGGGGGGGGGTGAATTTTTTTTCAGGGGGGGTTTCGGGGGGGGGCTGAGTTTCGGGGGGGGGGCTGATCTGAGTGAAAGAGGGTCTACCCTAGCAAACCTTTTGTATCATTACCCCAATACCCCCATGCATATGGGATATATTGAGTATGGTGATCAGATCATGATATGAATAAACATAACAGTTTAAATAATGCACCAATAAGGCCTTTTCGCGAACCACCATGAAAATTTCGGGGGGGGGGTGAAGCTCCCCGAGCCCCCCCCCCCCCCCCCCGGCTACATGCCTGGTTCCAGGCTTAATCATCAAACATCTCTTGAAACTAAGCATGGGCAATCCATTGTTCTAAAGTACTTACAAAACTAAAGTTCTGGTGGTGAAAACTAGGGGGCACTGGTTCTTTGCTTCTACAGTGTTGCTAAACTTCTGGTGGTGAAAATTTCAGAACTCTAACAAAACTTTAAAAATCTCGTTATAAATGGCAGTTCCTAATTGGTTCTGTCATAAAAATCACCAATAATGAAATAATGATGATTTTTTTCCCCAACAGAGTTACAGGTTGGTAGATGAAGGAAGTGCAGTGGGTGTAGCATATCTTAATTTCGGTAAAACCTTTGGAAAGGCGTTGCATGGTTTTACAAACAATTAGTAAAAAGTGGGATAGATAATACTACTGTTAGGTGGTTTGGTAATTGTTTGCACGACAAAGAGTGGAGTGCCACAGGGTTCTGTCCTGGGCTCAGTCCTGTTCAACATATGTATTGTATTTTCAGATGACACCAAATTAGCAGGGATAGCTAATAGTCTAGAATCATAGAGTTGGAAGAGACCTCATGGGCCATCCAGTCCAACCCCCATCAAGAAGCAGGAAAATTGCATTGGAAGCACCCCCGACAGATGGCCATTATATTCTTATGTGAGAAAGATCTTTTTTAATTTCCCACCAGGGCCCAATCGCCTTTGAGGACATGGCTGTCCATTTCTCCCTGGAGGAGTGGGTTCTCCTGAATCCTGGTCAGAAAGCCTTGCACGTGCAGATCATGGAGGAGCTTCATGGAATGGTGGACTCTCTTGGTAAGGCTCCCTCACTCATGGGGATTTCTATTTCAAAATGCAGTATCCCAGTCAGCAGCTCCCTGGTGGGAGCAGGATCCAAAAGCGTCTCAACCTCTGAGAGTTCTCAAGGCAAGGCTTATGTTAGAAATATATGACAGAAGTGTAACATTAATTTGGTGCCTGAGTAACAGTGATGTTGGCACCAATTCAGACTCCAGTGGGAAGACTTCCATGCGTACCACACTCCCTCGCAGCAACAGGGCCCCCTGGAAAACCCATCAAGAGTAATCAGGCCAGATCAGTCACACTACTCTATCCCTTCTCGAGGTGTGTGTGAGAGAGAGGGGCAGGGAGAGGGAGGAAGCAGATTGGCTGGAGAGAGGGGCCGGAGAATGGATCATCAAAAAGAACAAACTTCCCCTGGCTTCAAATACGCAGATGCGGCTATACATCTTTTTATCGGTGTGGTATTCAACTTAGTTTTTCCTCCCAACCAGGCAGGCTACCCTTTGCATGTCTGAAGGCTAAGCTCCTTGCCTCAGTCATTCTCGCAAGATGGCAACTTGTAGTATAATGCATTCTACATTCTGTGCTTGTGAAATATTGGGGATCGGGTTTTTTTTTTTTTTTTGTGCACTGGGAGAGGCATATAGCAGTAATCAAACTCTATGCCCCTCTCTTCCAAATGGCAAAAGTTGAATTCATGGTAGATTGCCACTATATCTTGCTGAGTCCTGCAGACTTTTTCGTTCCCTTTTCTACCTTCATCGTTGTGCTCCTCTTTCTCTTTTCAGTCATTATCTTGTCTCTTCCCAGCTTTCTCAATCAATCTATCCCTTTGAAACTCATATTTACATCCATTCGGTAGTTTATTTTGTAACTATCTGCAATCCTCCGAAATTAGGTCTGGGATCTTCTGTGTTGGAACAGAAAAATCCAACTTTAATGAAGAATGGGAAAAGAGAACTGGAGGTTGCGGGAGAGAAGTATAAAGGAGGGAACGATTGTAAAATGGGTAATAGCAAGATAAAGTCTTAAGCTAGAGGCTCTATTGTGTCCAATTCTGGACACCACAATTGAAGAGAGATATTGACAAGATCGAATGTGTCCAGAGGAGGGTGACTAAAATGATCAAGGGTCTGGAGAGCAAGCCCTATGAGGAGCAGCTTAAAGAGCTGGGCATGTTTAGCCTGAAGAAGAGAAGGCTGAGAGGGAGATATGATAGCCATGTATAAATATGTGAGAGGAAGCCACAGGGAGGAGGGAGCAAGCTTGTTTCTGCTTCCCTGGAGACTAGGACGCGGAACAATGGCTTCAAACTACAAGAGAGGAGATTCCATCTGAACATGAGGAAGAACTTCCTGACTGTGAGAGCCGTTCAGCGGTGGAACTCTCTGCCCCGGAGTGTGGTGGAGGCTCCTTCTTTGGAAGCTTTTAAACAGAGGCTGGATGGCCATCTGTCAGGGCTGATTCTATAGGCAGTCAAACAGTGTCCATCTTTACTGAACAAGAGGTAAAGTGATTTTTTAAATAAACATTTTATTAAAAGAATATAAAGTTACAAGGAAAGTGGGAGAATATTTTCAAGAAGACAGAAAAGCAGGAAACTCTAAGAGAGAGAGAGAGAGAGAAACAAAAACAGATAAAAAACCAAGAACCCAAAAAAAGGAGTTTGTTGACTTTCGCTTTTCCTTCTTGAACTGTTCAATTTTGTTATGTTGGCTAAATAGTGCAATGTTGACCTTTCTTAATTTCTTCTCTCTTAGATTAAATGTCCACAAAGGGATTCCTTTCCTTTGCCACTTTTATAACTCTTCTCATATTTGTCCATTTAACTCTCAGTTTTCATATAGTCCTCAAAAACCTTCCAATTTGTCCTTTTCATACCTTTCCCATTGTTTTGTCTTAGCCAAAAGGTGAGTTCATCCATATCTTTGATTTCTGTTATTTTATCTAGCCAGTGTGTCTTTGTGGGTAAATTTTCCTGTTTCTAATTTTTAGCGAAAATTATTCTGGCAGCTATTGTAAAATATGTAAATAATTTTTCAGTATTATCATCTTTAAAAATATCTGGTTCAAACATGCCTAGTAGATACATCTCTGGTTGCATTGGATAGTTAATATTTAAAATTTTCTTACATTCCATGTGAATCATTTTCCAATAATCGATGGTTTTGTCACAAGACCACGCTGAGGAATGATTGTTTCTGTTCTTCTTCACAGCAGATAATGGAGAGAAGAGCAATATATGCCCCAAACACAGGAAGCATTTGGGACACAACTGGGGCCTTCCTAGATACCATCAAAACCACAGTAGAGATGAAGATTGTGCCAGAGAATGTGGCCAATGTTTTACCCAAAATGTACCAGAATTTGGGAAGTGTTTTACTCTGAATACACACCTTATAGAGTGGTGGGGATCCCACACAGGAGAGAAACCATACAAATGCAAGGAAGGTGGGAAATGTTTTGTTCAAAGTCCATCCCTTGTGAGCCACAAGGGAGTACACACTGGAGAAAACCCATACAGATGCCCAGATTGTGAGAAATGTTTTGCTTACAGTTCACACTTCATTAGGCACAAAAGACTCCACACAGGAGAGAAGCCATACCAATGCCAGGAGTGTGGGAAATGTTTTGCTTGCAGTTCGGACTTCATGAGGCACAGAAGGATCCACACAGGAGAGAAGCCATACCAATGCCAGGAGTGTGGGAAATGTTTTGCTTACAGTTCAGTCTTGGTGAGGCACAGAAGACTTCACACAGGACAGAAGCCATACCAATGCCAGGAGTGTGAGAAATGTTTTGCTTCCAGTTCAGCCTTGGTGAACCACAGAAGACTCCACACAGGGGAGAAACCATACGAATGCCAGGAGTGTGGGAAACGTTTTGCTGTCAGTTCAGACTTGGTGAACCACAAAAGACTTCACACAGGAGAGAAGCCATACCAATGCCAGGAGTGTGGGAAATGTTTTGTTTATAGTTCAGACTTGGTGAGACACAAAAGACTCCACACAGGAGAGAAGCCTTACCAATGCCAGGAGTGTGAGAAAAGTTTTACTTACCGTTCAAACTTGGTGAGGCACAAAAGATTCCACACAGGAGAGAAGCCTTACTAATGCCAGAAGTGTGAGAAATGTTATCCTTGCAAGTCATACTTCTGAGACACCAGAGCATCCACACAGGAAAGAAACCAAATGCCAGTGTGGAAAATGTTTTACTCAAAGTTCATTCCTTTTGAGCCACCAGAGAATGCATAGAGGAGAAAAACCATCCAAAGAGCTTGGACAAAAGTAGTAAAATTAATCACAACAGGGAATTTGCAAATTTTGGACATTCTGGTGCTGTAGACTATACATTCAACATTTTCCGAAGAACCTGTGTGATTCCCTTGACTCCAAGTAGCACTTGGCATGACTTTGGACTGATCGCTTCTTGGTTTTGAATGCTGTTCAGGTATTGGTTTTTTGTTTTGCCTTGCTTGACTTTTGGAGAACTCTTTTGATTTTGTGGCCATCGGTATCATCATGGAAGTGGACTCTTTCCCCTGGTCAGCTTTTATGGTAAACATCTGATTTCAAACAGAACCTGGGTTATTGTAGATTTTTCAGGCTCACACACAGGGGAACTCCAGACAAGAAACAATCATGGACAGCTAATCACCGCTCAACATGATTCCCCTAGGCAGTAATAAGCCACAGCTAAAAACTATCAAGCTATCAAATGCTAATCAAGGTAGCCAACTGAAACAGTCACACCTAGCTCCAACAGATGAGTTCTTTCTCCCACCCCAGAACTTCCATAGATATATAAATCCAATTTTCCAAGTTTCCAACAGACCTCACAACCTCTGAAGATGTCTGCCATAGATGCAGGCGAAACATCAGGAGAGAATGCTTCTAGAACATGGCTATATAGCCCAAAAACCTACAACAACCCAGTGATTCCGGCCATGAAAGACTTCAAAAATGCATCAAACAGAACCCGTTGAGAAGTTCTGCCTAAGATCTGGTGAAGTCCCCGTTCTTATTTATTTATTTATTTATTTATTTATTTATATTTACAGTATTTATATTCTGCCCTGTTCACCCCTCAGGGGACTCAGGGCGGGTTACAATGTACACATACATGGCAAACATTCAATGCCATAGACATACAACATAGATAGACACTTTCCAGCTTTCGTGAGGGTATTCTGGTCACTGTCCATTAGTGACAATGATGGAGTACTTCCTCATTCTTTTTGCATGCTTGCTGGAGATTTTTATGGCATCATAAATTAGTTAAATTAGCCTCCCTGCATAAGTGGTACCTAAATTTCCTACTTGACAGATGCAACTGTCTTTCAGGCTGCAAAGGTCAACAGCAAGCTACACAAATTGGTCGGAAGCTCACTCTGACCCCGGCTGGCTTCGAACTCATGACCTTTTGGTCAGTAGTGATCTTAATGCAGCTGACTCCCAGCCAGCTGCGCCACAGTCCCGGTGCTGTGCCACAGTCCCGTTCTTGTCATTTGAATCCCTAAGTTGTGGTCCTCTTATCTGGAGCAGCAGAAAGCAACCTCCCTCTTACAATCCTTCAGGGGGTTGAATATGATGTCACCTATTGTGAAGTGGAGCCGCAATGCCACAATGGGCTAAAACCTTGTGCTGGCTGGACTGTTGACCTGAAGGTTGAGTTGCTGAGTTGAAATTTGCTGGTTCCAATCCTCGAGAGGGCGTGATCTCCCTCCTGTGAGTTCTAGTGCGGGGAATTGAGAGAAGCCTCCCAGCAGGATGGTAACACACCCGGGCGCCCCTGGGCAATATGTTCTTAAGTCGCTTCTGACATGATTTTGAAAAAGCCTATTGAGAAAAAAACCCATATGTAATTCCATCAATTGTTCCTCTTGGGCTTAGTTTCTATCTCCTTTTCCTCCTTGGTTGCAAATTTCCACTTTGTGAGCCGGGTTTCCAGAATTGAACACAATGCTTCTGTCGAGGCAAAACCAAAGGAAAAGGTGCTTGCACTATTATTTCCCTTGACGTACAAATTGTATCACTGGCTAGAATTTACCATCTGTTTCCCTGCTCCTGGCACACACACTTTTGATCCACATTAAATTGAAAAACACGAATCTTGTTATTTTGGAGTTAACTATGTTATACCTTCCAAGGGAAATAAGGCAGGCCCCATCCCTCCCCTCCTTTCATAAGAGCTTGAAGACCTGGTGGTTTCAACAAGCCTTTGAAAATGACCAGTTCTAACTCAGCCCTACACATTGTCGAATACGGCCTTATTCTTCCTACCAATTACCCAGATTCTTTCCTCTAATCGGCCCCGGAATGAACAGCCACAGACCCGTACCTAATATTATTGTTGCCTGCCATAGCATTGCACTTAATTCCCGGGCCCCCTAGAATTTTTGGGCTTGCACAAATCTTGGCCCGGCCTTTAAATTTTAAATTGCCTTGAACAAGGCAGGATTTCTTTTAATATATGTGTGTTATGGCGACTATTTTTATGCTTATATTTTGTTTGTTAATCTTTACTTTGTATGTTTTGTGATGTTACCTGGGAACTGCTCTGAGTCCCCTCGGGGAGATGGAGCGGTATATAAATAAAGTTTTATTGTTATTATACATCATTGCTTTTGTTATAGACTGTGAGGATTTTATCTATTTTGCAAAATTTAAGTCCCTGGATCTTATGTTGTTATTTATTTGTTCAGTCGCTTCCGACTCTTTGTGACCTCCTGGACCATCCCACGCCAGAGCTCCCTGTCGGCCGTCACACCCCCAACTCCTTCAAGGTCAATCCAGTCACTTCAAGGATACCATCCATTCATCTTGCCCTTGGTCGGCCCCTCTTCATTTTTCCATCCATTTTCGCCAGCATCATTGTCTTCTCTAAGCTTTGCTGTCTCCTCACGATGTGGCCAAAGTACTTCAACTTTGTCTCTAGTCTCCTTCCCTCCAGTGAGCAGTCAGGCTTTATTTCCTGAAGTATGGACTAGTTGGATTTTCTCGCAGTCCAAGGCACTCTCAGAACTTTCCTCCAGCACCACAGCTCAAAAGCATCTCTCTTCCTTCACTCAGCCTTCCTTCTGGTCCAGCTCTCACATCCATAGGTGACTATGGGGAATACCATTGCTTTAACTATGCGGATCTTTGTTGCCAGTCTGATGTCTCTACTCTTCACTATTTTATCAAGGTTGGTCCTTGCTCTCCTCCCAAGAAGTAAGCATCTTCTGATTTCCTGACCGCAGTCTGTGCAGTCATATTTGCACCAAGAAATACAAAGTCTGTCATGGCCTCCACGTTTTCTCCCTCTATTTCCCAGTTATTAATCAAACCAGTTGCCATAATCTTGGTTATTTGATGTTTAACTGCAACCCAGCTTTTGCACTTTCTTCTTTCACCTTGATTAGAAGGCTCCTCAGCTCTCACAACAAAGGATTATTTATTTATTTATTTGCTTTACTTCTATACTGCCTTTCTCAGCCGAAATGGCGACTCAAGGCGGTTTACATAGTAAAGGTTATCACAACAGTATCAAAAAGACAATTAAAAACACATTATACAACATATACCAAATCAAAACAATCATTATCATAAGCCTCAGCAAACAGATCAGAATCAGAGTCCGTAATCATAATCCTATACCAATTCCTATGTTCGGTTGTACCATCTTCATGTATTTCATTGCACTATTTAGCCAAACGCTTGTTCGTAAAGCCAAGTCTTGACCTTCCTCCGGAATGCCAGCAGTGAAGGGGCCTGTCTGATGTCCACAGGTAGGGCATTCCACAGCCGAGGGGCCACCACCGAGAAGGCCCTGTCCCTCGTCCCCACCAACCGCACCTGCGATGCAGGCGGGACCGAGAGCAGGGCCTCCCCAGACGATCTTAATGTCCTAGTCGGTTCATAGGTGGAGATGCGTTCGGAGAGGTAAGTAGGGCCAGAACCATTTAGGGCTTTATAGGCTAAAGCCAGCACCTTGAATTGTGCCCGGTAGCAGATTGGCAGCCAGTGGAGCTGGCGCAGCAGAGGAGTGGTGTGCTCCCTGAGTGCCGCTCCTGTTAGCAACCTGGCTGCCGAACGTTGGACCATTTGAAGCTTCCGAGCAGTCTTCAAGGGCAACCCCACGTAGAGAGCGTTGCAGTACTCTAAGCGGGATGTAACCAGAGCGTGGACTACCGTGGCCAAGTCAGACTTCCCAAGGTACGGGCACAGCTGGCGCACGAGTCTTAACTGTGTGAATGCTCCCCTGGTCACTGCCGAAACCTGGGGTTCCAGGCTCAGTGATGTATAAGTATTAAGAAAATAAGTATTAAGTATTAAGAAAATATTTACACAGTCTTTAAACTGATGAATTAAACACTGGAGTAATCCGGCCCTCCAACAGTTTGAAGGACTGTGACCTGGCCCTCTGTTTAAAAAGTTTGGGGACCCCCTGCTCTCGAACATGGCCATATAGCCCGAAAAAACCTACAACAACCCAGTTCATTAAGACATTAAATTCATTTTAAATCACACAGGTTCAAAATCGTAGTCCAGGTCAATACATTGTCAGTCACACAATGCCATCCTTGGAATCATCTTCAATCCAGGGCTTTGGAGAGATGCTCTTTCCCCCGCCTTCCAGTGTAACTCTGGGCAAGGAAGGGTTAAGGGCAGGGAGTGTGGTGCCCAGAGAGGCAGGAAGGAAGTGGGCCTCCTTATATCACTCTCCTGCCCCTCTAGGAACCAAACTCCCTCCCCTTCATCCTTCTTTGCCAGGCTGGGAGAGAAGAGAAGAGTTTCCCCCTTTGGCCTCATTCTCTTCATCCTCCTTATTCCTCCTCCTCTTAGCCTGTCTCTTTCCTCCTCCACCACCTTCTTCTTCTCCTCCTCTGGTGAGTCTCCTTCCCATTCCTTCTCCAAAGGGCCGAAGAGGGGCTGAAGCCCAACACACCTGGAGGGAGGGAGGGCCAAAGTGGGGCCAGGCCTCATTCACTCACAGGTTGGCCTCCTGACTCATAAGGATATACACACAGAGACCAAGAACAAAGAGAAACAACAACTTTCTAAGCTCTCCTCCTTCAAAGGAGATTGAGCCTGGCCTTGACCCGGGTGCGCCATGGAGAGAAGGGGGCCTGATGCAAATGGGATGGGGTTGGGGGCATCACAACAGACTGTGAGGCTGTCACTTCTCCAACCAGATGGGCCTCTCAGAGAACATATTGATCGGTTTTGAGCATAAAAAGATAATGCAGATCTTAGCGGAACAAATCAGTGACATAGACCAGTGGTTCTCAACCTTCCTAATGCCGCGACCCCTTAATACAGTGCCTCATGTTGTGGTGACCCCCAACCATAAAATTATTTTCGTTGCTACTTCATAACTGTAATGTTACTACTCTTATGAATCATAATGTAAATATATGATATGCAGGATGGACTTTCATTCACTGGATGAAATTTGGCACAAATACCCAAATTTGAATACTGGTGGGGTTGGGTGTGGATTGATTTTGTCATTTGAGAGTTATAGCTGCAAGGATTTATAGTTCATCTACAATCAAAGAGCATTCTTAACTCCACCAACAATGGAATTGAACCAAACTTGGCACACAGAACTCCCAGGACCAACAGAAAATACTGGAAGGGTTTGATGGGCATTGACATTGACTTTTGGAGTTATAGTTCACCTACATCTAGAGATCACTATGGACGTCAACAATGATAGCTCTGGACCAAACCTAGCACAAATACTCAATATGCCCAAATGTTCACACTGGTGGAATTTAGGGAAAATAGACCTTGACATTTCAGAGCTGTAGTTGCTGGGATTTATAGTTCACCTACAATCAAAGAGCATTCTGAACCCCACCATGATAGAATTGGGCCAAACTTCCCACACAGAACCCCCATGACCAACAGAAAATACTGTGTTTTCTAATTGTCTTTGGTGACCCCTCTGACACCCCCTCGCGACCCCCCCAGGGGTCCCGACCCCCAGGTTGAGAAACACTGACATAGACAAACAGGACTCAATGACTCTGGCGTCCACATGCTCTCCATGGAGTTTAGGCCTAACATTTAATGTTTTGGGAGGTGCCAAATACTTAGAAAATTTAAACATCCCAAAATTTCTCCTTGCTTTCAGTTGGGCCAGATTTAATGCCCTCAAATCAGCCTTACTAGAGGGTAGATACTAAACAAACAGCTTGTTGTATTGTCGAAGGCTTTCATGGCCGGAATCACTGGGTTCTTGTAGGTTTCTCCAGGCTCTATGGCCATGTTCTGGAGGCAATTTTTCTCCTGACGTTTCGCCTGCATCTATGGCAAGCATCCTCAGAGGTAGTGAGGTCTGTTGGAAGTAGGAAAATGGTTTTATATATCTGTGGAATGTCCAGGGTGAGATAAAGGACTCTTTCAACCCCCCGGTGGCGCAGTGGGTTAAACCCCTGTGCCGGCAGGACTGAAGAATGACAGGTCGCAGGTTCGAATCCGGGGAGAGGTAGATGAGCTCCCTCTATCAGCTCCAGCTCCTCATGCGGGGACATGAGAGAAGCCTCCCACAAGGATGATAAAACATCAAATCATCCAGGTGTCCCCTGGGCAACGTCCTTGCAGATGGCCAATTCTCTCACACCAGAAGCGACTTGCAGTTTCTCAGTCGCTCCTGACACGACAAAATCAGCTGAAACATTCACAGCTAGCCCCAGCAGACAAAAGTCCTTTGCCCCACCCCAGCCATTCCACAGATATATAAACCCATTTTTCCTACTTCCAACAGACCTCCCACCTCTGAGGATGCTTGCCATAGATGCAGGCGAAACGTCAGGAGAAATGCCTCTAGAACATGGCCAAATAGCCCGGAAAAATCTACCACAAAACAGCTTGTTTTTTACTCTCCGATAAAAATCCTCATGAAGCCCGTTGTCTAATTCTTCCTTTCTTTCACAGAGGAAATGTGATTGTTGGCTGAAAATTTGGGAGTAGAGCCTGTTCAGGGATTTCCTTCTCTTGAGAGAAGAGGGAGGAAAAGCATCTTGGATACGGTTTGGTTCTTCATCAGAGTGGTTCCAACATGGAGAGACCCAACTCACCTGGACCTGAAGCAGGTACGGCCTCCGGGAGCACTGGGGAATCCTGGGAAATAACTACACACATGTTCCCGAATGCGCACACACAGCGCCAGCGCTTCAGGCGGTCCTCCTACCGAGAGGGTGAGGGACCCAGAGAGGTTTGCAGCCGCCTCCACGATCTCTGCTGTCAGTGGCTGAAGCCAGAGCAACACACCAAGGCGGAGATGCTGGACCTGGTGATTCTGGAGCAGTTCCTGAGCATCCTGCCCCCAGAGATGGGGAGCTGGGTCCGAGAGTGTGGGGCAGAGACCTCTTCCCAGGCGGTGGCCCTGGCAGAAGGCTTCCTCCTGAGTCGGGCAGAGGATGAGAAGCAGGAACAACAGGTGAGAGCATTGCCTCTTGGCTTCACTCACATTGGGACTGATGGAGAGATTAAACATACATCCTGCCTTTCTTCCAAGATGGGACTGATGTGAGGGAAAAGCCAGACTCTGCTCTGTCGGCCTCTTTTCCCACCTGCTCTGCCCCTCCCTCTGTCACCTCCATATCCACTGTAAGCTCAGTTGATTCTCTCCTCACATTTGTTGGCCCCAGGTATCACATTGAAAATGATGGGAGGAGGAGTATGGCATAAAATCCAATAATTTTAGTTCGAATTGTAAGAGTTTTAAGGATTTAATGTGTTTAATTGGGGACTGTATTATGTCTTGTTTATTTAAGTTGCGTTTAGATTTGTTTTTATGTTATGCTTGGCATTGAATGTTTGGCACTGTGTTTTATTTTGTTGTAAACCGCCCTGAGTCCCATTGATGAGATAGAACAGGCTATAAATAAAGGGTTATTATTATTCTATTATATTAATAGAATATATTAATTTTTCAGATACAACATTGAAAATGATGGGAGGGGAAATATTGCATTGGTTTCAAACTCAGTTATTCTTTCAAAAAAGTCCATGAAGTTTCTGCACATGGGTCTATGATTTTTTTAACTTCTTACTAATTCTGGAATGCTCTGTCCTCTTCCAGGCCCAAAATAACTGCATGGAACTCCAGCCTGATGTCCCTGCATCAGAGAAATCTCCATCAGACACCACCCAGAGCCTCCAGCAGGAAGGAGATGGGGCTGCCTTGCAGGGTAAGAGGGAACCCTTTGGGGCATTTTTGTGTTTTATTCCACTGTAAATTCCGCTTTGGGCGGATTATTGCACATCCACAGGTTGAGCTTCAGAAGGTGCTGGATTGTTTGGCCTTGAGATAGGTGTATATCTTAAACTCGTGTCCTTTGTTTAATTTCTGTTTTATGTACTTTAATATGTTTTTATAGAAATGCTGTTTTAATGTGGATCCTTTATAGAAATATTTATATTTCTTGAATTTTTGCAATATTTGTGTTTTTTAAATTGTGTTGTAACCCGCCTTGAGCCTCAAGGAGAGCCAGAGAAGAAATAATAATAATAATAATTATTATTATTATTAGAAACACAACAAGTCCACAGCAAACAAGATCACTCTGCTGGCTGTTGTATTGGGTCCCAAGTGTCTAAGACTGTGTGATGATGATGATGATGATGATGATGATGATTATTATTATTATTATTATTATTAGGCATTCAGTTGCAAAACTTGTAATTTCAGTGTGATGGGGAGTTTTCTTTCTTGCAATACTTCTGCATTAGCCTAAAGATGAATAGAACTGAAAATTCAGTCCTTCAGTATCTTCCTGGGTGGGATCTGAAACTAAGATTTGCCCTGAAACTGAGCTGGAAGACAAACAGACAACAAAGTATAACTCTAGTCAATTGAAATACCAAGCCCAGTAGTCGTTTCAATGCAACCTACTCACAGCACTGCTTGCAAGATAAAGTCCTAAACCCTAAAATTTTACATATTCCTGGGCGGAGAATGCTCCTGAGTTCATAGGGTCATTTCCTCATAGGTTTCTTTATAGGATTGTAATTGTAACCTCTGAGGCATGTTTATAGGATTGTAATTGTAACCTCTGCTTTCCACCCCTTGCTCTCTCTCTCTCTCTCTCTCTCTCTCTCTCTCTCTCTCAGGGGCTGGAATGATGTTGTTGCCAAATCCTCAGTCGTTTCTTCCGCTTTGTGATGGAGTGGAAGTGAATCAGGTAAGCAGAAGGATTCCTGAGAGAGGAGGAAGGGAACTGCCTGGGGGTCATTTTTTCCAGGCTCAATCATCAGACATCTGTTGAAACAGAAAAGATTGAATGGGGGTTTCTTAAAAGTTAAATACTGAAGGCACAATTGCAAACAGTGCCAACAAGGAGGAAAAAATAAGAGAAATCTAAAGAAACCAGAATGTATGTCAAAGAACTTTCAAGTGAGCTAAGATTTGAAAGGAACGTGTACAAGAAATGGAAAATGGGGGAAATCACAAAAAACAACAACAACTAACCGGCATAAGTAGGGAAAAGGTCTGACAAGCTAAAGCAGGAAATGAGCTCAAATTTGCTAGAGAAAACAGTAAAAGTTTTTGTTGTTGTGTCAGTAGAAGAAGAAAGAACGAGCAAACAGTAGGGTTTCTGCTTGGAAAAGGTGGTGAAATGCTATCAGGAAATAAGGAAAAGGTAGGACGTTGCCTCAGTCTTCTCCCAAAAGGGAATCAGTATTCTCATTGAGCAAGATGGAGCAGATGGGGTAATAGGGGAATTATTATTATTTTATTTACAGTATTTATATACTAGGGGGACTCAAAGCGGTTTACACATAGATAATGGTAAAAATTCAATGCCATACAACTATAATAGTAAAACCACACTTTAAACATAAATCATATTAAAAACAGTACATCATCATCAAATATCAAAACAGTTATTAAAACCATAAAACAATCTCAACCCAATGCAACCCAAAATAGGTAAAGAAGTATTCCAGGAATAGCTGGCCACTCTCAATGAATTCAAGTCTCCAAGGCCACAGGAACTACATCCAAGACTCCTGAAGGAACTCACAGAAGAAATTTCAGAACCAAAGGCAATAAATAATCTTTGAGACTTCTTGGAGAACAGGAGAAGTCTGAGCAGACTGGAGGAGGCAAAGGTTGTCCCTATCTTCAAGAATGGGCAAAACCGCATTGAGTCGCCTGTTAAGGGCTGAAAAATGCGGTATAGAAATAAAGCAAATAAATAAATAAGTCCCCCAACAATTACCATCTAGCCAGCTTGACCTAAATAGCAGGAAAGATTTTGGAACAGATCATTAAGAAGGCAGTCTGGAATCACCTAGAAAAAATGCTGTAATCACTAAAAGGCAACATGGATTTCTCACAAACAAGTCATGCCAGACTAATCTGTTTTTTCAATAGAGTTACAAGCTTGGTAGATGAAGGAAATGCAGTGGATGTAGCACATCTTGATTTCAGTAAGACTTTTGGAAAGGCTGCCCATGATTTTACAAACAACTAGTAAAAAGTGGGATAGAGAATACTACAGTTAGGTGGAATTATCATTGGTTGAGCGACTGAGCCCAATGGGTGCTCACCAATGGTTCCTCTTCATTTTGGAAAGAAGTGACTGGTGGAGTGCCACAGGGTTCTGTCCTGGGCACAGTACTGCCCAACATTGTTGTTCATTCGTTCAGTCGTCTCCGACTCTTCGTGACCTCATGGACCAGCCCACGCCAGAGCTCCCTGTCGGCTGTTACCACCCCCAGCTCCCTCAAAGTCAGTCCAGTCACTTCAAGGATGCCATCCATCCATCTTGCCCTTGGTCGGCCCCTCTTCCTTTTGCCTTCCACTTTCCCCAGCATAATTGTCTTCTCTAGGCTTTCCTGTCTCCTCATGATGTGGCCAAAGTACTTCAACTTTGTCTCTAGTATCTTTCCCTCCAGTGAGCAGTCGGGCTTTATTTCCTGGAGGATGGACTGGTTGGATCTTCTCGCAGTCCAAGGCACTCTCAGCACTTTCCTCCAACACCACAGTTCAAAAGCATCGATCTTCCTTCGCTCAGCCTTCCCTAAGGTCCAGCTCTCACATCCGTAGGTGACTACAGGGAATACCATGGCTTTGACTAGGCGGATCTTTGTTGTCAGTCTGATGTCTCTACTCTTCACTATTTTATCGAGACTGGACATTGCTCTCCTCCCAAGAAGTAAGCGTCTTCTGATTTCCTGGCTACAGTCTGCATCTGCAGTAATCTTTGCCCCTAGAAATACAAAGCATATCATATTTTCAGATGACAGCTAATTAGCAGGGATAGCTAATAGTCTAGAACAGTGGTTCCCAACCTGTGGACTGCAAGAACAGAAATAGGGTCTACGACCTCACCATTACTACACTGTTGCCTCGAAACCACACAGCAATGAGGGCAAATGGTCTTGTGAAACCCTCTTAAAGTGCCATGGTAATGGGGATATCAGGAGGGGAGAGGCAGATTACCCTCACAAGATTCCTACTACCACATCAGCTCTAGATTATTAAAGATGGTTTTCTGTGGGCGAGCAGATGGTGACTACTGGGTGGCATATGTTCTGTATCAGAAACTAGAGCTGATGTGGTCTACCCAATGCAGTTTTCTGAATCCGCACCCCAAATAGCCAAATCAAATCTAAAGTTGACTAAAAAATTATTCATAACCCTTTTGGTACTAATGTTGGAGAGTGGTCCCTGGTCAAAGTGGTCCCTGCTCAAGTGGACACTGGTCAAAAAAGGTTGGGAACCACTGGTCTAGAAGATAGGATCAGAATTCAAAATGGCATTAACATGTTAGAGAGCTGGGGCAACACTAACCCAGCAATTTTTGAAGGCAATTTTCCTGCTCCTTGGCAGGGGGTTGGACTGGATGGCCCACGAGGTCTCTTCCAACTCTATGATTCTGTGAGTCTAACTACATTAATTTCAACAGGAATAAATGTAGGATAGTGCACTTTGGTAGGAGAAAAATGCAGATACAGGATGAGTGTTGTCTGGCTTGGAAACAGTTCATATGAAAGGGATCTTGGAGTGTTAGTAGATGACAAGTTGAACATGAGCCAACAATGTGATGCAGCCGCTTAAAAGACTGTGGAATTGTAGGCTACATCCAAAGGAATATAATGTCTAGATTAAGGGAAGTCATAGTGACCTCCTTTCTGCTTTGGTGAGGCCTCGGCAGGAATAACACTGTGTCCAGTTCTGGGCACCACAATGAAAGCTGGAACATGGCCAGATTCCATTTCTAATTCTACATATGAATTAAGAAATGGTTCTGACTGACCAACCGGACGTCTCTACACAGCTTACACTATGGCACAGAGGCCTTAGCCCTTTCCCTTTCAAACAACCAACAGGAATGTAAATCTACTTTGAAGGTTTTCTTGTAATTATTTGTCATGATAGTCCTTATGTGAAAAGCAAATATTTTCTTTTTCCACCAGGGCCCAGATGCCTTTGAGGACGTGGCTGTCCATTTCTCCCCGGAGGAGTGGGCTCTCCTGAATCCTGATCAGAAGGTTTTGCACACGCAGATCACGGAGGAGATTCAAGGGATGGTGGACTCTCTTGGTAAGGCTCCCTCATTGGTGGGGATTTCTGTTTCAAAATGCAGTTTTATCCTAAATCATCACAGTCACTGAAAGTATTCAAGGCAGGGCTTATGTTAGAAATATATGAAATAATAATAATAATAATAATAATAATAATAATAATAATAATAAACAGTATCATACAAAAGCTGACTGGCACAACCTGGGGATCACAACCAGACACAGTGAAGACATCTGCCCTTGCGCTATGCTACTCTGCTGCTGAGTACGCATGCCCAGTGTGGAACACATCTCACCACGCTAAAACAGTGGATGTGGCTCTTAATGAGACATGCCGCATCATCACAGGGTGTCTGCGCCCTACACCACTGGAGAAATTACACTGTCTAGCTGGTATTGCACCACCTGACATTTTCCGGGAAGTAGCACCCAATAGTGAAAGGACCAAGGCAGTGACATCTCCAGCTCATCCCCTGTTTGGGTATCAGCCAGCCCAAGTCAACGACTTAAATCAAGAAATAGTTTTCTAAGCTCTACAGAGACACTCGCTGGAACACCCCAACAAGTGAGAGTCCAAAAGTGGCAGGCTCAAACCCAGACCCTCAGTCAATGGCTGATATCAAATGAGAGACTCCCTCCTGGGCACACAGAAGACTGGGCAACTTGGAAGGTGCTGAGATGCAGAGCCAATCTTAAGAAATGGGGCTAGAAAGTGGAATCCACTTTGGGAAAGGGCAACTTGGAAGGCCACGAGATGCAGAGCCAATCTTAAGAAATGGGGCTACAAAGTGGAATCTACGACATGCGAGTGGGGAGAAGAGCAAACCACTGACCCCCTGCTGCAATGCAACCTGAGCCCTACCACATGCACAATGGAGGACCTCCTTGCGGCAACACCAGAGGCACTCCAAGTGGCCAGATACTGGTCAAAGGACATTTAATCAACTACCAAGCCTTTTGTCTGTTTGTTTGTTTTGTTAAAAATGTAATACAAATGTCTGGTTGCTCCTGACACGATTAATAATAATAATAATAATAATAATAATAATAATAATTTTCTATAACCCGCTTTTTTCCTCAAGGGACCCAAAGTTAATATTATTGGTGAGTCTCCTGGGTGTTGGTAACTGCTGCTGGGCTACTCCAGACCACTGGACATCCAGATAGGTGTATCTTCTAACTTTAAAGGGCCCGCTGCACTCCCTGCTGCAGTGCCAAATATATAATATTTTTGCCCGGGGGTGGGGAAGGTCTGTTCTTGACAACATATCCACTGCCACTTTCCTAAATTCTCATATGTGAAGCAGCTCCCCTGTAAAAGCCGTCCAGAATTATACAGGTATTGGAACCAGAACAATTGACTGAACAAAGGGACAGTCCACAGAATGGTACTTCCAAGAAGTCTCTCTTATTGTGGCATCTGGATTTATCAGCAGCTCCTACCTATAGTACACAGGCTTGTCCTTCCTCACAAACCGGGATGGTTTGGAGGCAATCTCCTCTCTCTCAAGTGTGGTGTTATGTGAATGCCACTATATCTGGCTGAGTCCTACAGACATTCCTCTTTTTGTTCCCTTCTCTGCCTTCATCATTGTTGTCTTTTTCTTTACAGTCAGTATCTTGCATATTCCCAGCTTTGTCAAGCAGATCTATCCCTTTGGAACTCATATTTACATCCAGCTTCCAAAAACTGTTAAGAGTCCCATTTGGTAGTTGATAACAAAGCATAGGTCTCCAGCAATGGAATGGTGGCCTGGGATGGAGCTCCAACAGTCTTGAGGTGGTAGTTTGCTTGCAGGGACTATCCTTTTGCCCCTGCTGGGGTGAAGGATTTGACCCCTGGGTCTTATGACACCTGTGTTGTAGCTCAGCCAGCTGAGGGTGATGTGGAGGGGTTTGATATAGTGCAGGCAGCTGATAATGTTGAGGGGTCTGGGGGTGCAGGCCCTGATGTTTCTGAAGGTGTTCAGACATTGGGGGGATGTTGGAACAGGATGGCAATTCCCCAGTTGGGAGAATGGAGAGGTTTTTGGTGGACTCTGTGTGGAAACGAAACTGTTTTGCAGGAAGAGAGATTAGACAGAGAATCGTGACTGCTTCTGTGTGGGAAGAATTCCAGCTGCAAGTCATGCAATGGGAAAAAACGGCCAAAGAGCTGAAGGAATGCTTTCATGTATTGCTGTCCTTAATAAGGGGGAAAACTGCTTTCTGTTTTTAGATCAAGCAACTTAGCAATTAGAGAAAGGAACTCTTGTTTTGGTTCCCGCTTCAAGTTATGTCCTGGTCAAGTTTTGCTTTAAGTCTTGGGGATTTTACCATTAACTCAAGCTAATGTATTGCTCTTTGATTCTTGGATCACTTAAGTGGATGTTTTATTCCTCATCTTTGGATTATTCAAGCTCATGAGTTTACTCTGCTCCTTGGATTTATATTCATGCTTTAACCTTGGCATTGGAGTTTTATCTCTGGTTTCTTGAGACTCCTTTTATCCCATTTGGACATTTTACTCTTTTACTGTGTGTGCTTTTTCAGTAAACTGTTTATTTCTATGTTGGGATTCCTGGGGAGTGCTTGAGCAAGGTGAACCCCAGCTGAACTGCATGAACCTGGGGAGCTAGGTCAAAGCTGTCCATTGGCTGGTTAGTACGCAAAGACTATGGATTGGTGCAAATTGAATACAATGGTGTGGAGCATCCTCAAAGTCCATCCGCCATCTGTGCCATCTTAGTATCCTCATAACTGCAGAAATGTTGCTATTTCAAATTGAGTCCATCTTTCTGAAACACTGTATATTTATTTCACCCTAAAGGTTAGGAAATAGCTAGTGACTGAACAAAGATATAGTCCACAGAATGGTACTTCCAAGAAGTCTCTGCTATTGTGGCATCTGTATTTATCAGCGACTCTTAGCTCTTCTGCACAATCTTGTCATTCCTCACAAACCAAGACAGTTAGAAGGTGATCTCCTTTCTCTCAAAACCAATGTCAAGTCTAGTGTTACATGGATGCCATTATATCAGGCTAAGTCCTGCAGTCATTCCTTTTTTTGCTCCCTTCTTTGCTTTCATCATTGGTCTCCTCTTTTTCTTTACAGTCACTACCTTTTATCTTCCCTGTTTTGTCAGGAAAATCTGTCCCTTTGGAGCTCGCATTTACAACCAACTACCCATTCGGTAGTTGATGGTAAAAGTGTAAATCTCTGCAACACTCTGAAATTAGGTATGGGAACCTTCTATGTTGGAGCAGAAAAATCCAAAAAGGAACAGGCGGATCTGGCCAAGGTGGTCCATGCCTTAGTCACCTCTAGACTGGATTACTGTAATGCACTCTATGTGGGGCTGCCCTTGAAAATGGCTCGGAAATTCCAGATGGTCCAACGGGCGGCAGCCAGGTTGTTAACTGGGGCTCCTTACAGGGAGCGGTCAACCCTCCTGTTTAAGGAGCTCCACTGGCTGCCGTTCATTTTCCGGTCCCAATTCAAGGTGCAGGTTCTTACTTACAAAGCCCTGAACGGTTTGGGACCTCCCTACCTGCGTGACCGCATCTCTGTATACGAACCCACACGATCTCTTTGATCATCTGGAGAGGCCCTGCTCACGCTCCCACCTGCATCGCAAGCGCGATTGGTGGGGACGAGAGAGAGGGCCTTTTCGGTGGTGGCCCCTCGACTCTGGAACTCACTTCCTAAGGACATCAGGCATGCCCCAACTCTGGCAGTCTTTAGGAGGAGCTTGAAGACGTGGTTGTTCCAGTGTGCCTTCCCAGAATAATGATCCCACAGCACTTTGTCCTCCAAAGCACTTTACATTGTTTTAGGTCTGCTTGTATGTTTTCCACAAATGCCCCATCATTTTTTTCCCACCCATGTCCAGCATTATTTTTAATTTCAATTTACATTTGGCCCATATTTTTTAATAGTGTGTTGTCTTATTGTTGATGCTTACGTTATTGTTTATTGTCTATGTTTGATTTTAATTGCTTGTATTGTTGTTATTGCTTGTACTGTTGTATTTGGACTTGGCCTCATGTAAGCCGCACCGAGTCCCATGGGGAGATGGTAGCGGGGTATAAATAAAGTTTTATTATTATTATTATTATTAATAGGGGAAGGGAGAACAGGAGGTTGGGATAGAGAAAAATAAAAAGGAGGGAAGGATTGTGAAATGGGTGGTAGCAAGGTAAAGTCTCAGCTAGAGAAAAAGGCAAGCATTTGAATATGAAGGGAAAAGGCATCCATTCCTTGACAGAGAAGACCTAATAACAAACAGGGCTCGGCTAAACAATAGATAATTTCTGGAACAAATGTTATTCATATCGCATTAGAGGCTCTAGACAACCAAATAGTATCCGCCCTAACTGGACAATGGGTGGTGAGAGGACAGCATTTATATCTTCTTCCATGTCTATGTTGTTATAAGGATAATTTCAATCCACTTCTTGTCTCATTTCTTTTATCACTCATGCTGAGGAATGATTGTTTCTGTTCCTCTTCTTCACTGCAGATAACTGGAAAAAGAGCAAGGTATGCAGCAAACGCAGGAAGCATTTGGGACACAATGAAGGCCTTCCTAGACACCAGCAAACCCACAGTGAAGATGGAGATTCTGCCATAGAAAGGCCCTACAAATGCAATGTATGTGGGCAATGTTTTATACAAAACATGGATTTTGTGCTTCACAATGCACTCCATGATAGGAAAGGCTATACTGAAAGGAAAGTTTCAGCAAAATGTGTTCTTGATTACAAATTGCCACATCTGAGCCAAGACGAAATCTTTGAAGTAACTGAGGATTTCATAAGTCAGACTTGTGGGAAATCTTTTTTCCAGAGTTCACACTTGGTGAACCATGAGAGATTTCACACAGGACAGGAACAATACAGATGCCAGGAGTGTGGGAAATGTTTTAGTCAGAATGCACACCTTATAAGCCACTGGAGAACCCACACAGGAGAGAAGCCATACAAATGTGAGGAATGTGGAAAATGTTTTGCTTCCAGTTCAGACTTGGTGAGACACAA